TTCGGCCGGCTCCACCCCTGGCCAGAAAAATCTTTCGGCCCGGCGGCGTCCCTGCCGCAAAATGTTTTCGATCGACCGGCGCACATGTCGCAAAATGTTTTCGGCCTGACCGAATTTTTCTACAATTTTTTTTATTTTTATATGTTAATTATTTATTCAATAGAAAATTAATGAGTTAATAGAAAAATAATTAATTAGTGATTGATTTAATAATTAATGTTAATATTTAGTACATTAGTTAATAGAAATTAGAAATTAATGTTAATATTTATTTAAATTTGTGTATGAATGTTTAATTACTTAGATTAGTTAATAGAAAATTAATTAATTAGTGATTGATTTAACAATCAATGTTAATATTCAGTATATTAGGTAATATAAATTAGCAATTAGTGTTAATATTTATTTAAATTGGTGTATGAATGTTTATTTACTTAGATTAGTTAATAGAAAATTAATTAATTAGTGATTAATTAACAATTAATGTTAATATCCAATACATTACTTAATAAAAAATTAATTAATTACTGCGCATCTAAGTATGATATTATGTAAATTTGTGGATAATTAGATATGGATGATGCGGGTGGAAGTGAGTTGCCTAGATTCGATGGTAGGAATGTTGATGCATCAACACGAAGGAAGGTGCCTAAGAAGAATAAGGAGAAGAAGCGCTCTCGACAACTTGGACATAAGTCAGAGGCAGATTTAGGGGAGGATGAGTTAGAGGCTCCTATTGTAGTTGCTCGTTCGGCATCACGGGCGTCTGGTTCCCATGGGAGGACCAGGGTGCTGCATCGAGGGTGGTCTCGGCTGAGTTTGATCAGGACGATACTGATTAGGGTATCCAGGTCTCTCCACCCAGGCGTAGACATGGACGAGTGTCGTCTTGTACGGCAACATCACGTCCTGCTATGTCCGAGTCATTTGTTGTGTTTCATAATTATATCAATTAGTTTATACCAATTTCTTCATTGATAGTAATAAGTTTTAACAAGAATACTTTGCAATCTACATGCATATAAGTTTTGCTAACGAGCACTATGCGCACAACTATCAAGCGTCTAGAGTAGAAATGGCGATAGAGTTTGGTTAATTTATTGTGCCTAGCTAGTTGTTGATGACCATGACGATGTACAACGAGAGAGCAACGTCATTGCTCATGAGATGAGCAAGAGTATGGGCTATGATACTTAGCACCCAAAGTTGCTAAGGAAAAACTCGTGCATCCAATGCTAACAAGAAGCATACATCTACGTCCTAGTGTATCTGCTGTTGAGTCGTTGTGTTTCATTATTATACCAATTAGTTTACAACAATATCTTGATTGATACAAATAAGTTTTAACAATAATACTTCTGCAATTTGCATGCATATATCATATATCCACAAGTACGACCTACTTGTGACGAGTTTTGCTAACAAGAACCATGGGCACCTATCAAGAGTCTAGAGTAAGCAACCCTGTTTCTAGTGTGCATCAAGATTTTGTTTCTTCTGAGCAGTTGAGCAATGTGGTATTTCCTGGCAGCTACTCTTGGATACCCTCGAACCAGCCCGGTTGGAGAACAAAACTGCTCATTATCGCGTTCCCTTGTTTGGTCTCCACGGTGCTCTTAGCATGCTTACCGAGCACTCCTTGTGGGATAGTAAGTATGAGCAGTTGGTGACATGATGTCAGCCAATTTTCATGCTCAGGTTATTCGCAACGTTGTTACTTTCTCGCTCTACTTTGCGGTGTTCATCATTGGCCTGGAGGTGTACCACTACAAAATATTGTGGCTATCCCGGCGGTTCCTTAGCAGGGGTTTAACAAACCCTTGCTATAGCTTCCGGAACTTGCCATACCAGCGGTTGGTTTCAGCGGTTGGATAACCGCTGCTGCATCTAAAGCAATATTACGATCGAAATATGAAACATTCGCTTTCCTCCCTCAGTTCCCATCCTTCTTCAAATAGAAATACAAAATAGAAAGAAGGGAAAATCAGAAAATGCTGAGCTGCAGTTATGGCGTTCATTCGCTCCAAGCTTCGATCGCGGAGAAGTAGTCGGACGATCGTCACCGGCTTAATTTATGGGTCGAAGTGCCCTGAAGCGGAGGATAGAAGCCGGAGAGGATGGCAAGCGATTGAGGGGATGACATCTTGACACTATTCGACAGAACTAGGGTTTGGCGAGCTCCGCTCGATTCTAACTCATTCCCCATGCCTTGATGGAATCGCGACCGGCGTCGTGACAACGACATGAAGCATTACGAGCGCGATTCTAGCTCTAGGAGGTACCTCTTCGTCTTCGCCTGGGAACCAAGGCCAACCAGTCAAGTTAGTGGTGTGTGAGATTAAATTATTGCTTGTTTCAATAAGTTGTTTTTGTGAATTGCAGTTAGCGACTCAATACATTACTGCCAATGTTCAGGGTGAGGCGGCTGTAGCTGGAGATTCTCGTTGGATTTCTGCGGAACTTTTGAGATTTGTATGTTCTTAATCTTGTGGGCAGTTTGACTAGGAAGTACATAATTTGCATACCATCGCACGAATTTGTTGTTAATATATGGAAGATTTAGGTATAACCTTATAGTAGCATATACCATCGCACGATACTGTTGTCAAGATATGGTAGTTAAGCTCTGACTTTACATATATAGTTGTCATTTTGGGCAATGCATTGCCGATTACATTCAGTCTTAATGTTACTCTTACCATCTTTTCAGCTTAATTTTGAAATCATTGTCAGAGATTTCTACTTCCCTCATAGGCTTAGGATGTTTAATCTTCGATTTACTGCAGTTGGTTAGCTGATCCAAAAGTGGGAAGCTGGAGTCTCTTGGTTATAAAGAGGGTTACAGAGTTGCTGTTGACATCCCAGAAGCACTTGGTCAGTGCTCCAAGCTTCCATGATATTATGATCTTGGTACTTTCTTTGTTCAATTACATTGGTTTCCTTGATTAATAATTATGATCATCTGGTTTAATACTCTGGTAACCAAGCTAGGTGAACATTTATCCCTTTTCTCAACTGGATTCCCAAAAATGAGCTTCCCTCCTAGACAAACTAATTATATAAAAAGGTAGGCATAGTTAACTTATGACAGAGAGTTCTTACACTAATTGGAATGCTTATACTTAGCAAAATGGCAGAACTTGTTACTCAAAAAATGTGTTTATGCTGTATGGGGCAACACCATTAATGGTGATTGTCACAGTCCTAGCTGCCCTAATGGAGTTTTGTTTAAACTACTGATATTTGTTTAATATGGCAAAGCTTTTGGATGGACTGTTTGCTTGGCTGGTGAAGTCACTCTTGCTCTTCTATGAAAAGGGGTTACCAATAATTCCTCTCATACCTCTCGATGTCGACCTGGACATTGTTTTGAAGTACATTGTATCGTTTTCTTGACTTTGCTTCCTTTCTCTTACCATCATCTCTCCTTATTTGGTTTCTTTCGTGCCTTGTTCAGTTGGCTACAAAGCTATGCAACAATTTGGCAATGGTTGTTAGCATCCTTGATCCATCAGAAGGCCTAGCACATTGACCAAAGTTTTCAACTCTTTAAATGCACGATGCTGGAGTAGGTATATTTGCCTTGAATGGGCACAATATCTACTATTTGCTGGAAGCTTCAACGCATTACTCGTGTTCTTATCATAAAGATATTTGATTTATACTAAAACAAATATTTTAATGTAAATTATTTGTATGCAAGCAAGAGATGCATAAGTAGAATGTCAGTTTTGTTGCTGGAGCTTAAAACTAAACAAATGTTTGTGCTGTGCAAAATTAGGATTATCTCGTGGGGATTATTCTTTTTGAGTTGCTTGTAGCAATTCCTCTGTTCAATCACCATCTCCCCAGGTACTCAAATCTTGTCAAATAAATGTTCAAGTCATGAATGCCTTTTGCTTGGCTTTAATTTTGTTTAGTGACCATGACTCACTGTATTTCCTTCCTCTGACTTTAGTATATAAACCATTAATTTTGGGACTTTACTTAACTTTTGATCATGTTTACTATACTTGATATTTCAGGTTGTGAGAGAAATCAACTACATAGATGATGGGTGGAAGTCAGAACGTCACTTTATATATGCATATTTGAGAGATGTAAAAGCTGAATCCTTTCCCGCTGTCCTTTTGTAGTTTTCTGACTTGGGCTTTGCTCTATTTTGAGAAATCAGATTTCATTTTTTCCTAAATCATTTTTTGGTCGTTGCAGGAATTGTCCCTTGTGCTATTCTACTTTTTGGGTCGCTTCTCATCCTAGAATCTCCCAGATGACGGGTACCTTAAATTATGCTATATCTATAATTTTAGAATCTAACCAGCTGGTTTTGAATTTCTGTTGACAAGAATGAATGTTTTTCATATGTTATGCATGCAAAGATAGGTCATGAGAAGGAGTTTGTGGTCACATTGCAGGTTGTCTGGTTTGTCTATAAGATAGCCATGAAAGAAATACAACCTGACATGTTTGGTTTGATCTTGTTACAGGGTGCTTGTAATATGAGGTTGGCAGAGACGTCACATTTGGAGGTGGCCTTGACACTACCTCGTGCAATAAGCCATTTCCTTAACCTGCCGGTAACTCCCATAGATAATAAGCCTTTATGAGCTTTGTTTAATTAAACAACGTCCTATTGTCAATCAACACCCATAACTCATTACACTTAGTTATACTTTTTTGTGTTTGTAACCTCATCCTAACTTCACCATAACATAACTTAGTCTTCAAAAGCATTTTTGCTTATTCGATTCAAAATCAACGAATGGACACTATCTTTCTACCCAGCCCTCATGCTAAATTCATAGATACAATTCGTTGGTGGTAAAGGGTTATTGTTGGCTTCAACATTATGTGGTTTTTTCCTTAAGAAAGGAGGATTCAGTCAGTGTGCTGGATTATGTATGTGACCATACGTTGCCTCTTTTGCAGTTGCTAGAATTGCACTAGTCAAGCCTAAAAAAGCTGGAGGTGTTGAAGACGTTATACTTCTAGCGGCTCAAATGGTTCAGATAGTTGAAAAGGTATATGCTATAGCTGTGTACACTATATTGGTTACTAGGGAGTTGGTAATTGTTTCAACATTCATTAACCTAACCCTGTTTGCAGGCGTCGGAGGAGAGGCTGATTTCACAACTAGAACAGATAACACACAAACAACGAAACAAACCAAAGTGACATCAAAGTAAGTCATTAGTGTGTTGTTTATGCACCCTCATATATAATTTCATGGTCGGTTTCTAACTTCAATTTAGATCACAGCTGTGTAGTTTCGATTTTGAGTTGTCTCTGTCTAATTTGCATCTAAAATTTCAGTCAATTTTAACATTGCAGACTCGCATGCATAAATTACATCTAATGCTGGAGTTGTTGAGGTCGTTGTTGGCAAGTTAATGGAACTAGACCAGCAGACTTGGTTAGAATATTAAGAATAAAAGACAATGCTTTTTATGATTATGTTGGAATATTTATGCTAATTAGCATTTAGCCATGTAATCAAAATTTTCTTTGATCATGAATGATGGAATATTAATGTGAAAGTGTATATTATTGATTTGGCTTTTATTGAATTTTAGTTTCTGGGTTTGTTTTAGCGACCAGATTATTTGCAACCATATTTTAGCCACTAGTCATTGTGGTTCTCTTTAGCGACGGTTTTGAGATCCTTTAGCGACGGTTTTGAGTTTGTTGCAATTGATTTAGCCACGAATAAAGCAGGGGTTTTAACCCTTGGCAGTTTTGGTAAATTTTAGTAAAAATATTACCAGGGGTTTTAACCATTGCTATGGACATCTCGTGGTTGGAGTTTACATTGACGCGTAGTAGGGGTTTTAACCCTTGATTCATGTAGCAGGGGGTGTAACCCCTGCTACAACCCTTGGATGGGACTTCCACCATGGGTTGCTCAAAACCCTTGCTACACGTAGCAGGGGCAGCATAGGCGAGGGTTCATGCAGGGGTTGGTAAAACCCTTGCTACAACTTGTGGCAGGGGTTAAAACCCTTGCTACAGGTTGGAAAAACCCTTGCCATAGACTTTTTTTTTGTAGTGTGTGTCCTACAATTAGACTCGGAGCCATTTTGTGGATGTTTGGTCCCGAAGCATTCTCATTTCTAGTTCGAGCACCATTCTTATTCTTTGGTCCTCGCATGGCCCTTAATTAAGTTGATATCATAGCACTATTCATAGTGAGTTCCGATGCTCACCGACCAGGACACGATAGTTGTTGGCTACTTGTTTTGTTGCCCGATGAGATTTTGACGATCAGCTTCATACTGTTGCTTGGTCTATTTTCGAGATGATCATAGGGTCGCGTTTTAGTGGATGACACATTTTCCCAACGATTATATGTAAGTATTAAATATAGTCGGCCTCTCCATTATATTCAGGATAACAAAAACAAAAAGAATGATGAGACCGATATGTAAAAGTTATATAAAACATTCTAGCAAGATCATAGGAAGAAAAAACTAATTAGTTAATGAAAAAAATCACCCATGAAATGACAAGAAGTACGAATTTTTCCTATTTAATTAACATCTTCATCTATACTTTCCCTTAAACTTCAAATTTTCCCTAAGGGTATCTATCTCATTAGGTTATTGTTATTAATTTCACGACCAACGTATAAGCATGCACGAATTCTTCACAAATTTTCTGACAACCATGCACCTTAAGGCTTAAGATGCCAAATGACCAACTTACCTAGCAAGATAGAAAACTCAACAAAACTGCACATCTGCCATTGATAATCATTACAATTATATTAGAGCCAAAGAAGTAGTCATCCGCATCGAAACCAAAAATGTAAAAGAATTCCTATAAAAAAATGTAAAAGAATAAATGGTCGTATTAGACTTCTTCTGCTACGCCTATATATGTACTTTTGTTTTGATACAGGTTATGATAAATGCAAATTAATAATCAAGAAAAAGGGAAGGAGGATGCGAGTCTCTAAAAGGTGTACGTAGGGGCAATCTGGTCTGGAAATGAAGGAGCAAAGGAGGCAAGCTGGTGAATTAGCCAAGAAGAGCAAGTTGGCAATTATAATAGGAGAGATTTGTTTAATTTAACGGTGTTTGTCTGCTATAATAGTTTTTTCAGTCATAGCGTGTATTGTAATGCTCCAAACTTAATTTCAATAAATAAAGTGAGTCCATCATTATAAACAAAATTCAAATCACTTGATTAGTTATTCATAAATTATTAAGCCAAACGGTAGAAATACCTGTACAAAACGACAACGTTATGGCGACACAGAACAAGGGAAAACTTATTGTATTTCTTGTAAAATGTAATTATTGAACTCTAGTTTAATTTTGCTTGTGAATCAATAAACTCTAGGTTAATTGGATTAAAATTATTATAATTAATAGAGGTTTCCAATCAGCCTACATGTTGGTTTGATGTTCGGACTGGGATAATTTGATAGCGAGTCAATTTCAGATTACGGGATAATTGTATTCTATGTTCTGATGGGTTCTCGTTGATCAAGGTAGCCTATGGTCAATTGGTTCCCAGCCGAGTTTATGAGTTCACAAGTTGGCTGAGTTGCGGGCTTATCACAAAACAAATCCCAAAATCATTTACCTATTCTGCCGAGTTGGGCTTCGTACTATCAATTAGTGGCTTTCTTAACGATTTTGCAGAGAAGGGACTGAGAAGGTCCGATGCTCTTGAACACGCAAAATAGAAGGCCTAAAATAGGCCCATGAGCTGTCAGGTTCAAAAGAAGCAATAAAATAGGCCCAGGAGCTGTCGGCCGCGTTTTTTTTTTTTTTTTTTCCAAGGCAAGCCCAAAGGGCATGGGACAAAGACTCGACACGATTACAAGACCGACTCAAATACTGGACGTTAGTCCGTATGCAACCAGACTATCGATGAAAGAGCCTGTAAAGCCACTACTTGGGCAGCTCTGAAGAAGCTCCGAGGAGCAAAGACACGACACTGACGGGAAAAAAAACACAAAAAAAACACAAAAATCCAAAATCGCCAAGGTAGTCCCGCCAGCGAGTGTAGTTTCCTTCGACGGAGTATACCGGACCAGTGTCGAGTTGCCACAAAAATCACAACAAAGAAAAGAAAGTAACATTAGCACTCTTTCACTGAGCATGATTGATTACTCTCGCAAATTTGTTAAAGAGAAAAAATAAACTATCACCTGATAGATCGATGAAACTTATATTACTTCCTTAAGTTACTTTCATACCATATGAACACCTGCAAAAAGACCAAACAGAAATACACGACTATATATGGTACTAGAAATCTCTATCACAAGAGATTAAATCTTGCCCTTAAGGCAATGTCGATACTATCGAAAATATACCACCAACGGTATTATTCACCTCTTGTAAGTATAGTATACTCACAATCAATGACAATTGTCAAAATTAGGAAAATTGAAGTCTAATTAACAAAAATAAAAAAGTAGAGTTATCTTCAAACCCCAAACCGTTACTTACCTCATCATCAAGAATAAAACTTAAATTCATGTAAATTTGGCAGGTAAAAAGATTTATAATTAATAATTTACACCAAGGTCATAGAATGGTGAAACACGACCGGAAAAGCACCTAGGTGAAAATAATAACTAATGATTCCAATATTGGCTCACCACAACCGGAAAGCAAAGGAAAGTATAAAAATGAATATCCTTCACAACTAATGGAATCAAACAATTCAAGCTAAAACATTGATTAATATTTACTCAATTCCTATTAGATCATCAAAAGAATAAATGGAAAAATTAATTGCAATTTGTTTACACCATAAATTACTCTGGCGGAAAACACAATTAAAGCAGGAAAGAATAAATAATCGGAAAACCATATCAAGCCAGAAAAGGAAAAGAGAATTAACCGAGAAAGTACCATAAACAACACTAAACATTAAAATTAATTGTAATTAAAGACTAAAGGAAACGAGAAATTCATATACCATAATTTCGTCGATCATGATACTGACCGCACGCGAGAATGATGGCACCCTCAGCGCCGTGATATTAGCTTTTTAAACCGCTCATCGGAGACTGCTGCCGCCGATTACGAAAATTGCACCAGACCCTTGGTTCTCGTGACTGTAGTCGGAGGATTCTTTTGGATTCGGACTTCCGCCACAGCAGAGGAAGTAGCTACCACCGGGATGATAGAGATTTGGATTTGGCCGCACTTGTCTAGCTCCGGCCACCGCCTCGTCACCCTCCCATTGAAAGCATAAAGCCACCGGATCAAGGCCCAGAGGGAGGGTTGGAATATGCATGGAACAGAAAGCGTATATAAACAAATGATAAAGAAATATAAAGTAATATAAATTCTCCCTGTCGCCGGCGAAGCGGAGTAGCGACGCGTCCTTATTGGATTTTCGCTTAGTGACGGCGAAACAGAAGATCAAAGCTAATATCCGCCGGCGTTAGAAGAACTATGAGCCGGAAGAAGCAGTCATGAAAGTGCAAGCGAAGCAGTGACGCGTCCATGCGAGGCTCATCGTCGATTGCCTTCCTCAACTGAAATGGGCAGAGAGACGATGGAATTTTGGGCTTCAGGGGGAAAACCAGTTACCCTTTAGAGCTTGCGGCGAAAGAAGCTGGTCGGCCGCGCTTGGTCGCGGTCAACACTCAACATATCTCTTCTCTACAATATTATAGCATAGTTGGTAGTAGTTTTATAGCGAAAATAGGAAGGGTAAATTTGTCTTCACAATAATTATTTATTTTTTATTTATAAAAAGAAAAAAAATATATCAATTTTGAAATTTGAACCATAATCTTTCCAAACAAATACAACAAGCATTACCAATTAAACTAAAGAAATGTTTTGTATCATTTCAAATAAAATATCTAAGAACCTAAAATCTAAAAATCATATGACTTTTACTATTGTTAGCTAGCCCACTAACTCTCCCGTAAGTACTTTCTTTGTCGTTTGATATTTAAATTTTCATATTTTGATTATTTTAGTTTGAGTTTAATAATAAATTTAATTTGTGTCTATCTTATAAGTGGAGAATAATTTTTAGACTATCATAAAGCATTGATATTGTTATGCAAACTGTAAGTGACCAGTTTTTTGAAAGTTTTAGTTTGGTTAACTGTTAAATCTCTTGATAATGCGACATGATTGGACAAATCTCTTGATAATGCGACATGATTGGACAAATGGGTGAGTTTAGAAGAATAC